CCCAGGCCTCAGCCCGCTCTGGCCGCCCGCAGGTCTTCAAGAACCCCAAGTTCAGCATGCTCACCGTGCGCAACGACATCACCCTGCTGAAGCTGGCCACGCCCGCCCAGTTCTCCCAGACCGTGTCCGCCGTGTGCCTGCCCAGCGCCGACGACGACTTCCCCGCGGGCACGCTGTGCGCCACCACGGGCTGGGGCAAGACCAAGTACAACGGTGAGAGCGCCGGCGTCCGGGGCGGGGCTGCCCCTGGTGTCAGGCGGCGTCTCCGGGTGACCCCGAGGCCCTTCATGTTTTGGTCTAAATTCCGACAGTCATAGATTTGCCTGTTTCCGTATTGAAATCCTCCTGTCTGAGTGCAGTCGTTCATGCCTGTAACCCCAGCACTTTGGGAGGCTGAGGCGGGAGGATTGCTTGAGCCCAGGAGTTCAACACCAGCCTGCCTGGGCAACATAACAAAACCCCATCTCTATTAAAAAAAAAAAAAAATTGCCAGGCATGGTGGTACACACCTGTAGTCTCAGCTATTTGGGAGGCTGAGGTGGGAAAAGGATCAACTAAACCCAAAGGTTGAGGCTGCAGTGAGCCATGATTGTGATCCTGCACTCCAGCCTGGGCAACAGAGTGAGACTCCAACTCAAAAATATATATATATACCGCAAACGTGAAAAAAACTCAGGCCCACTGATGATGTCCTTGAACAGCATGTATCTGAAGCGCCCCCCAGATGAGGTGCAAGGAGTGGATAACGCCGGGTCCAGCCTGGACCTTCCTCCAATGGGAGGGAGCCTCGTTCTCCTGCCTGGGGTATCATGTGAAGTGGCCGCGTCCCTGACACTTTAGGGGATCTAGAGACATTTCCATCACCACGATCATGGCCAAGAGGAAGATGGCACAGAGGAGGGCTGGGTGTTAGGGACCCAGGTCTCTCTACGGAGGTGGGCCAGGTGGGCCAAGGGCCCTGACTTGTCCTCTCCTGTCCTGCAGCCCTCAAGACCCCCGACAAGCTGCAGCAGGCGGCCCTGCCCCTCCTGTCCAATGCCGACTGCAAGAAGTTCTGGGGAAGCAAGATCACCGACGTGATGGTCTGTGCTGGGGCCAGCGGCGTCTCCTCCTGCATGGTATGGCTCGCTTGGTCGCCCTGTCCACCTCGCTGACTGTGCCCAGCCCCCAGCCAGGCCAGGATGGCCCAGGGCCCCCACCCTGGTGGCCTGGCCTCCTCTCACTCTCATCTACTCGGCTCACTCCTCACTAGTGTCCCAAAGCCACCTTCTTGCACAATTGCATCAATGTCAATGTCTGAGCAAATGGCACCTCCTGGAGTTGTGCAGTGCACACCCTAGACTCTGGAACCTGGGGTCCAGAGGACTCCAGGGGGGCTCCAGCCGCCCTTCCTCCCTCGTAGGTCCCTCGGCTAGCCCCACCACGCTCTTCCTCCCATTGGTCAAACCGGCTTTACTGCGATAGGACCCCACCCTGGGATGCCCCAGACTTCAGGGGCACAAACCACTCAAGGAACCA